TTCTAGATTTAGAAAAGAAATTATAAATTTATGACCCTTAGGTAACCTTGGTCTCCTATATGCTTCGTGCAAATTTGCTACGGACTTAAAAATCTGAAACAAAATTAACTAGATTTGAGCTTTAATCGAAAATAAAGTTTTCTCGAAAATAATCGGTCTAATGGCAACGGTCTGGCGGCCGTGTGGTGTATTGGTAAGCACTTCCTCTTGAAGCCATGGTCAAAGCAACATCGCGCAAAAAATTGGAAAAAAGGTTTTTTCTTAGCAGCGGTCGCCCCTCGGCAGGCAATGGCAAAACTTCCGAGCGTATTTCTGCCATGAAAAACAGTTGCTCATAAACCATCGTCGTTCGGAGTCGGCGTAAAACAGTCGGTCCCTCCCGTTTGTGTAACAACATCAAGGCGCACACCTCAACTCGGAGGAGAAGCTCGGCCAAACAGTAACATATGTGTAAGCGCTAATCTATTATTATTAATGGCAACATTTGTGGCAGCAATGGAAATATTTTTTTATATTTTTTTTTTTTGTAGTTACGTTTAACATAATATTTAAAGAAAAAGGGAAATAAAGGGAAAAGTACATAAACAAGCTTTTAAAGAGTACATTTGAAGGAACAAAGATCTGCTTATAATATCTGGTTCTGAGTGGTCCATACTTGTTAAATGTGTAAATTGCGTTAGTGAAAGTACCAAGACTTAATCACCTTGAATTTTGCTAAAAATGAATTGTTCTCACTATTTTCTTTGGCTAACTTATAAAACATACCTACTAGAGTTCACTCTTTAAGCTTAAACAGACGGCAAGCTCGGCCAAACACTTAATTCTCGAGTTGATCCGGATCAACGCTGCCGGGGAATTTCAGCACGTTCAATTCTTGTAACTGTAATAAAGTTTCAAATGACCAAAAATTACCGTTGATTTTTTACAGACGAATAAACTTAATTTATTTGTATATGGAAGGAAACCGCAAAATTTTTTTTAAAATTTTTCAAATAATAGTTACGTTTGTTTACTCATTTCCAGTAAAATCCAGTAAAAGTTTAGTTTCGAAGTAGGGGAAATTGAGAAAGCGAAAAATGACAGTTGAAATTGCAAGTTTTTACTGGATTTTACTGGATAAATTTTTACTTGTAAGAATTTGCCAGTACGAAAAACAGCTGATCGCATGTTGCTGGATGAAATTTAAACTAATCAGGAAACTGTTTGTGGGTTTTTATTGTGGAAATTCACAAAATAAACATATTTAAATATAAAATATATTGTTTTATTAGGAATATGCTGCGAATAAACAACCAATTTATCAGCTGTTCATGAAACTTGCAAATTATTACTGGAATAGCGTTCGTGTACTTTTTTGTAAATTTTTTCTATGAGAGCGATTTCTTAGAAATAAAGTTACTGGAGAGTTGCTGGCAAGTTACTGGATAATTTGTAAACAAACACAACTATTGCATAAAGTTTGAAACTTGGTTTTATACGGTATTTATTAAAAAATGAACTATATTTAAAAAAAAAAAAATAACTTTTAACATAACAAAAATAAACAACAAAAAATGTTTCAAAAAAATTTCACAAATTTCTTCGGACACATTTATAATAATCAAATCCATATTTTTAAACTTGAAAGGAACGTTTGCTTCGTAAAACAATTGCCACAGAAATGACGCGGCTTTAATTAGAGTTGTAAAACTATCGATAGTGCCACCATCGATAGTTTCCATGTTCCAGAAAAAACTATCATTATTCGTTGATAGTTTCCCGAAATACTATCGATAGTGTCAAACGCTACCATCGATAGTACTATCGATAGTCAATGTAATGTTAAAAACTGCTCCAAATTAACAGGGACGGCATCGAAAAACAAAAAAACAAGATATTGAAAATATAAACACACGTAGGCCCGTTTTCTTAAGTAACTTTTTACCTTAAAATTCACTTTATATTTAAATATTCTGTCTAAGTAAAGCATTTTATTGTCGAATTTTATTTATTTATTTACATATCTATTACTGAAGCTTACAATTAAAAATAAAATTATGAGCCTAGTAAAGAAAGCTTCTTCTTGTGATCTATAACACATGGCAACAAAACTGGGGAAAAAATTTGTTGCGGCAAATGTTACAGCTGTTTTTGATTGACTTATCAAACAAAAATTTTGAAATTTCTAGTTGTGAATACGAACACCATAATTTTTACTTAGCTCGCGGGACAACGCAAAATTTTGACAGCTTTTAAATACGTATGCACATAAAGTTGTTTGGCAGTAATAAAGAGTCAAAATCAAAATGGAGTCTGGAAAAGAACAAAAATAACACAAACGGTAATAACGCAAAATTAGATTTATTTCACTTTTAAATGGGAAATAATATCAAAATCTGAGTTTCGCTTTATTTCCAACAAAGGTAATTTTTGGTTCGCGCATTTTCTTCCATATAAAGTATGTTCACTTTTTTTTTTTTGTAAGGAGAAAATGAGCAACACCTTCTACACAGTTTACCAAGTCCTAGCTACTTAAAATTTGCACTTTTAGATGAAACTTTGTGGAATTTCGCTATTTTTTTACAACTTATGAAATTATGATTCACATGATCTTTGTTAGATAACGACTTTCATAAAAAAAATATTAAAAATTTAATAATCGAAACAGGAATAGCCAAAAAAAAAAGGTCTAAATAACGCTAAAATGTCCCTTCTCTATTTATGTTTTTGCCACTCTATCTACAGCTTATGTTTTTAACCGACTACAGAAAGAGGAGAAGGTTATCAATTCATCGAAATATGTCTATAAGTTTTTTACTTAAGAAAAGGCTTAGACGTTAGACGCTTAGACGTCCTAACTTTTAAAAAATATTCAGCGGGACAATTTTATCCAAATCGGTACTGTCCCGCAAAAAACGGTACGAATGGTCACCGTACTTACACCCAGTGTTGCCAGGACTTCTGCATGAGAAAACGTCCCTCTTGGTCTGAAAAAACGTCATTTCCTACCCAAAAACGCCTTTTTCAAATGAATGTACAAAAAAATTGTTCTTATTAAACTTTCATTGCATACAAAGGTACATATGTACGTAAGGTATAGTAAAATGTCATTTCGACAGAGCACATTTAGAATTCATTGTAAACTGGTTTGAGATCGCTAATATAAAAATGATTTTGTACATACACTTGTGATCAGCTGATTAAGTCAACATTTTAATCGATTTTGGCTGTTTTTCGTTTGTTTATTTAATGTTTATTATTTTTTCCATAAAAGCCAAGCTCATTTTATAACAAACAAAATATAAATCCACATTTAAAACTTTGTGCAAAAATTATAAAAAATCTGCAAAGTTTCAGCTATATTTTCAACTTTTTATTCAGATTTTTTAGAATTTTTTTGAGTATGCAGTTTGATAGCCCACTAAATTTCAGAGCAATAATATGCAAGTTTAAAGGAGCTACATAATCGCGTTGATTTTTAATAATTTTTTTTCTTGTAGGCATTTGGTTAGGGGGTCGGTTGTCGAAAATACTAAATTATGTTCTGCTAAGAAGGAGCATAGCAATATTTCAGCCTTTTTTGTGTTCGTTACATTTTCAATGAAGTCCTAAAAAGTCGCCAACTTTTTCTGACTTTTTATACTGCTACAGCATTTTTGATGCTTTTGCGAGCGTGCGTGTTGCAATAGATCAGCTCTTCCTGATTTGGCTTTTAATGAGCAATTGCAAACATTACAATTAGTCTCGTAGCCTCAAGTGTTTACACAACCAGCCTTTGTCCAAGAATCCGAAGAAAAAAACGCGTACACTTGGTTTGCATCATATTTCAGTCATCTGTGTCCAAAGAATAAATATCTTTTGAAGCAGCTGCGGCAAAACACAAAGCTTGTAAAGATTTATTAAGAAAGTAATTCAAAACCAGTTCTACTTACAAGATTTAGTAACAGAGAAAAATTACTGGGAAGTTAAAAAACGTAAATTTTTACACAAAAAACGTCCAAATGACGTTGAAAACGTCAACCTGGCAACGCTGCTTACACCACAAAAAAGTTTTAACTATACTCTTTTAGTCGGCAAAAAAGTTAAAAGGAACGTCCGAACGTAACCCGCAACGCTAGGATTTGCTCATATGCTTAATTTGTTCTCAATTTTTTCATTTATGTAAGAGATGAATTTTTAAACTAGGAAAGACTCTGATATACACATATATTTATGAACATATATATGTGTATATGTATTGTATGTTCCTTACGTTTTTATATAAACTATAAAAGTGCTAGGGCCGTTAACTTATCTATTAACGACTTAACTATACTTTAAAATAGATAAGTTTAATAATAATAGATTGGCCCTTACACATATGTTAATGTTTGGCCGATCTTCTCCTCCGATTTGTGGCGTGCGCCTTGATGTTGTCACACAAAGCGGAGGGACCTACAGTTTTACGCCGGCTCCGAACGGGGATTGTATTTTTATGAGAAGCTATTTTTCATGGCAGAAATACACTCGGAGGTTTGCCATTGCCTGGTTATTTCCTATGGCTTTATTACACGTCGCCTCTCACAGAATGTTGACTTTTTACTGCAAACTGCAATCAACTAGTACCGAAAACATTTTTCCACAGTTTTCCAATGCAAAAGGCATAGAACTATTAACCTTCGGGTGGTAACTGATAACTTCGGTAACTTCGGTGGTAACTGATGGCGACCATTTTTAATTGAATAAATATATCGTGTAAATACATTCCATTTAGTCCTCCACTTTCTCTGAATTAATCATGGTGCTTCGAGTCATCCACAAGACTACCAAGTCGTAAAGAGGCCAAGTAAAAAAAATTTTGGAAATTTACCCTTTTGTTTCAAGGATTGAGGGGCAGTTGTACTAGCTGCTTCCATAATTCGCACAACGTCTTCAAAATAGGTACCTACAACTAAAAAAAAAAATTGGTAGATTTTTTTTTGGTATAAATCAATGATTATGATTTTTCTCAAATTAATGCAAATATTTTTTTCTCTATCTAGAAAACTGTTGTTTTACCTGTTTTTGTATCTATTGCTTTGAATCTGTGCGATTCACAAGCAGTTATGTATATTTCCGGATCTGATTTTTGGGTTGTGCCTCTTTTGAATACGGGATGTGAATTGTTACGTTTTGGTGCGATTGACTTTATTTCAACGCGAATAAACGGAAGGTTAGTAGCATTTTTTCGTTCCCTCATTAAAAATTTTTATAGAAACCAGCATAAAATGGGTGTGTATAAAAAGGTATCCTTTTTATTTAAATTTTGAAATTTAACGTTTTGGTGTCGACCTTCACATTTAAGTAAGCACAATCTGGCATTTTTTGTTTTGTAATGATACTTTATTTAATGGAGATTTTGGAAAGTTTTGCCGAAATTTTCGGTCCTTTTGCGGTTTACTTGGCAGACATAAGCGAATTAGGGATGTAAAAAAACATCGATGTATCGAGCGATGTCGGCCGCTGTGGTGTAGTGGTAAGCAGTGCGCGCTTCCACTTCGCAACGCCTGGGTTCAATCCCTGGTCAAAGCAACATCGCAAAAAATATAGAAAAAAGGTTTTTTCTTAACAGCGGGCGTCCCTCGGCAGGCAATGGCAAACCTCCGAGTGTATTTCTGCCTTGAAAAACAGCTTTTCATAAAAATACAATCGCCGTTCGGAGTCGGCGTAAAATTGTAGGTCTCTCCGCTTTGTGTGACAACATCAAGGCGCACAGCACAAATCGGAGGAGAAGCTCGGCCAAACAATAACATATGTGTAAGCGCCAATCAGTTATTTATTATCGAGCAACAGCGATGGTCGTGGCTTCAAACATAGCTGTTTTTATGAATCTGATGTTAAGTCAAAACATCGATGTTTTGAAAAACATCGAAGATATTTCTGAACTAATATTTAACCATTTTACTTTGTGTGAGCTTTAAAATTTTGAGCAAGCGTTTGATAAATAATTACTTTCATGGAATCATGCCTAAATAATTTCCTTTGATAAATTCGTAAATTCCAATTAATAAATGTACCAGTGATGAAATTGATGGTACAATTGTACTTTTTTGATACATTTTGGAAGCCAAAAGTACATTGGTACTACATTGACATTTTTGATACATTTTTGTCAAGATACGGTACTGCAGCTTAATTATGTCGAAATACCACACTCTATTTACTTGGGGTTTTGAATTTTTGTGCATAAAAATATAGTCATATTTTTCTACCATATTTAAGAAAATACGTGGTGTTTATTAAAAACGAAACTCTTACTTAAATCAAAAAAAAAATTTGCTGTCATAATAGGTCTATTCATAAAATTTTCCAGTAAGTACTAGCAGCCAGAGAATAAAATAATCATACCGAGTAAAATTGAGGGGAAGACTAAAATACAGTATATTTTGCTTTGCTGCCTTTGTGCTTAAGTGCACATTTAAGATATCTACCCAAAATGAGCATCAGCGGCATTATTTTTAACACTTATAAGGAAACTGCTCCGATAGATGCATTCAACATACCTGCACATTAGCGATACCTGCCTTAAAATTTTTTTACTATTATCAATTATCAAAGAAAATATTACGTTTACCTGCACTGGCTCTAAACTTACCCTAATTTTACAAACTTCTATTTGTTTTGCTCAACTCGCGGAATAACGAAAACGGCTATCATTTTATGTAGTTATATAGATAGAAAAAAAAATTCGCTTGCAGTAATTTCCACGTGGTAAGCGCTCCTGCATAATGTAGTTTCATAGGGATTCAGATACCTTCCTCATTGAAGTAGTAAAGAAAATTCGCTTAAGTGCTTTTTTCGGTTAAGCGCACAAGTTTTTCGTGCAAAGAAGGATAGGCAGCTAAACAAAATATACTGTATCCGAAAAAGTTATTGAACGCAGTAAAAACGTGCAACTTACGCCATTCTGACTTTCTGATAGGTAAATTTGGTAGGAGTATTTTTGTATTCTCCACACAAAATCATCCAGCAGCAAAAATTCTGAGCAGTTTTGAGCAAAATTTGAAAAAACTTGTAATCTTCGAAACAGCTGATAACATTCACAGTTGCAATAGGTGGTTCATTTGGTAATTTATTATCCGGTTCTTGCATTGTCCCCTATTTGGAATTTTTTTACTATTGAATACTTTTGTATAGGAAAAATGTTTTTAACATATAAATGAATTATCTCGCAATGAATAAGTTTTTATCTAACAAATATTTTTGATACCACATTTGACGCGTTCAAAAATAAAAGAATCTCCTTTAAGCACCCTTCCTTGTTTCACAAAAATTAAGTAGATATAGCTACAAATGTGCCATTAAAATTATTCCATTTTCGTTTTAACGATCAACTGACAAATTCGGTCAAAACCTTTCAGCATTATTATCTATTTTGGTATATTTATTTCTGGGAAAAATATGGTACAATTGAAAAATTTTATACGGCAGCCATAGTTGACGCCCGGAAATTAGAAAATTAGAGATTAATAATAAATTAACTAAACTAAAGTTGTATTCCTTTCTTTTGTTTATTCACGAACACATGTTTGTGGTCAGAAGACTTTTTTACTTGTAAGTTTTCGCAGTTAAATTTTTTTCCAGCAGAAAGTGGCAGATTTCAGTGTCATTTTGCGCTCTCGATTTCCCCCACTTTGCAAAAAATGAAACATTTTTGTAAAACTTTCATTCCGTTAAATGCAACGGTTTTTTTTTTGAAAATTTTTGTATTACTAGCACTTAGGTAATAAGTATAACTTGTATGCTATTGTTGATTATCTTGGCGTTTGGTGGCCTTTTCAAACAACTGATTTTCACTTATGTTTTCCACCTTCGACACGCCATGTTTTATATCATGATTTTATACAGAAAATCTAAAAACATCTATATGTAACTATGGTCTTTTAAATGTTGGTACTTTCTCGGCTTATTTACACTTTTTTTTGGCCATTTGGTACAAAATTAAAAAACTCATTTATCATGCCTGAAATGTACATGTGCTGAGCGTCATAACCGAATTTGCCAAATGGCTTCGTATCGACTCGCCGAAGAACTCGCCATCGGATGAATAGCCGGTAGGCTGCAAAAACAACTCGTATGCAGTACCAAACTAAAATTTTAATACATTACATTAATACTACGCCTCGCTTCAAAATATAAACCCACTACATATTGATAAGTTTTAGCAATTAATTTTTTTCGATTTAAGTATTTATTATTTTTATGTAAAAATTTAGATCATTCTTTAACAAAAACTATATAAATCCAATTTAAAATTGTGTGCAATATTAAAAAAAAATCAGTAAACTTTGCCAAAAACATCGGTGAAAACATCAATGTTCTAATTCGGTACATTGTACTACCATCGATGTAAGTTTTCGAAACATCGGTTCTTCAAACATCGATAATCTCATTGTGATTTACAACCCTAAAGCGAATTAGTCAAACCAATCAACACCGATTTTGTGAATACATTTCTACTTAAACAAAATAATGTAACTTTTCCGGTATTTTAGACCTAGGCCGCTAATTTATAATCTTGATCCTACGTACGAATTATGGGTCGTGATCAAACGCCCAGATCTTGATTAGCAGCTTTTTCGATTTACTAAAGTGTAAAAGACTTCACCTCAATTTATTATTCGAGCATACATTTTCTTTGTGTGAAATTACTGTTTTCTACTATTAAATATTATGTACTCCGAAAAATATTATGTGTGCACTACACGGCATATAGTATATAGATACTCATACATTTTGTTTGAAAATAGTCATTGTAATCGTAGCTTATTTGTTTGTAATGCGCTTATCTTAATTGTAAAACAGTTAGCGACAAGGCTAATAAAATGATCCGTTGAGATAAAATGAAGTCTAATTGCCAAGAATATTGCAAATCTTGTTGTTACTTCTCAAACATATGTATATGAATGTATGTATGTAGGTACATATATCATATTTTCATATTGTTTGTTTTTTTTAACTTAGATTATTTTTATGTAAATTAAAAATAAAGTTTTTTAGAGAATTGTTAGGCCCCTTTATAGCATGGTCTATAAATGATAAGTCCATTTTTGTTTTTTAGTGTGAAGTAAACATATTTTTACCAAAACATATCGTACGTTTGTTGCATGTCAATTGGATTAAATGCGAATGGGTAAGAACAAGCATGCAACGCATTGACGGCAAAACCTTTTTCAGCTTGTATTTATTATTAAAGAGGTTAAGAGGTTGTATTTATTAAAAAGAGGTTTTTTGAACAAACTCGCTTAGAAGCAAAAAGTATCAGATAAAACACTGTACGTTACTGCGAAAACTTCAGTTTTTCAATATCTCCATTAAAAAGATAAGCATTTTTACAGTTCAGTATTTTTTAAGACAGGTTTTCTATAAAATCACGGAATGCCTGGCAGTTTCAAGTTTACACAAAGTACCGTTGACTAAAATTTTTTTGAAGTGAAACCAGTGTTGCCAGGTTTTCAGCGAGCCTAATCCTCTTTTGTCCATGCAGTTCTATATATTTTTCCTGTTTTTCATTTTAGGCATTCCCGTTTTTCCCCCTTTTTATATACCCCAGTTGTTAGAAATAGCAAATCAATTATCCGTGTTTTATTTTTTATACTAACAATAACCGAATTTTAACAACTCAGTCAATAACAATAACAATTTAATTTACATTATTAATATAAAAATATTTAAAAATACTTATGTGTTATTTGTACATATCATTCGCGTGTAATTGTGATGCAATTTTTGAATCACTGAATACTGTTTTCAACAGCACTGTAGTGCATTTCTGTAGCTTATGCGATATTATATCGCAAATTTTGTCATAACGCGGTATCCGAAGTGTTTCTTTAACTTAAAAAACTCACCTTGCAATATATTGGTGGTGAGTTTTGTTAAAATTACACAAACCATCGTACAGTTCCATAAGTAAAGTAACTGTTCTTCTTACCGTGTGTTTTTGGTTATGGTGTATTAGTTCAGTGTGTTAGTGTATTATGAATAAATTGTAATGGAAGTAAAAGAAATTGTTATAGAAATGAAAGAAATTGTAAAAGATAAGAGCACATTCTCAAAAACAGGTGATCTCAGCTGGATGCATTTTTTGGCAATCAGCTGATAGTATTTTTACT